CCTCCGGGGCCTGGGATTCCTGAGGGCCAGTCTTAGCACTGAAGACTGAAGCAAAGAAGGCATTCAGTAGCTCTGCCTTCTCCGCATCCTCCGTCACCAGGACACCCGCCCCATTCAGCAGCGGCCCCACATTGTCCCTAGCCTTCCTTTTGCTGCTGATGTAGTTGAAGAAGCCCTTCTTGTTGTTTTTGACATCCCTTGCCAGCTTCAATTCCAGGTGAGCCTTGGCCTTCCTCGTCGCATCCCTGCATGCTCTGACCACATTCCTGTACTCTTCCCAAGTGGCCTGCCCCTCTTTCCACATTCCATGGACCTTTCTCCTCTGCCTGATCTCCGCTAGAAGCTCCTTGTTTAACCATGCAGGTCTCCTGCCTCCTTTGCTAGATTTATTATTTATTCTGCTAGTGAAGATGGATTTCTCCCTTACAGAAGTGAGTTCTAAGAGCATTAGGGCTCAGTACCTCAAGAATGTCTGCCTCACAACCTTACTCCTTCTCTAAAAGCTGCCATTAAGCCAAGCTAAATTCCACAGAATTCAGACCAATTGCCTAGACTACTCCTTCCTCTTTTGAAATAGGAAGCTAAAATGCAAATACAATACATGCAATGTAAATGCCAATCTAACCAACTGCATGCTTATTTTATCTCTTAATATAAAATACTAAGATTCTGGGGCGCTATTACCTATGATTTTATAGAAGTACTTGATATAACAACATTCTGATGACACAGACCAGACAGCTGAAAAAAAATAAAGAGATCTTGATGAGAGCAAGAGGCTTGAGGGGGTTTCAGCCCATGTATTGCTTCCCAGAGATTGGGGATGACACATCCTGACAATGAGCATACAGGCAGACCAGTACTGAAAATCATGTTTGTACTGTGATTCAGCTGTGTGTTGCAATTGCTATATTGTGCTCGTACTGTGACTTAAAAACACTGCAGTACCACTCTGCCAAAAATCCTGTGTAACTTCCAATACCAACAAATAAGTAAAGTTACTATAAAACATTAAACTCTCTTCAGGTAGAACATCTCAAAGAACCCGGTCAGAGAGCATTGGACTGACAGAACTGCAACTTAAAAATTAACTTTAATAAAAATAGCTTTCCTATAGCTCCATTTTCATCCTACCTGGTGTTATTAAGTGATGTATGCTGGATGTCCGTGTGACTGGTGTACTCCGACACTCTGGAGTTGGGCTCTCTCCTTTTCTATTGCTTTCTGAGGGATCCGGTTGGCTGCCCTTGGAAGTGGTTACAGGTTTATTAGGGCACAGAGACAATGACTGAGTTTGACTGCTGCTCTTTGGTGGGCCATTCTGTGAACTTGACAATACACCCAACTTCTGACTGCGCAATGTCAAGTTCTGAACCTGGAAAATAAGCAAAATGTGAAAAAACCCAAAGCATATAAACATCAATGACAAAAATCCAGCCAAAAATAATGTTACATAATGCTTCTCATCCCACTTGATCAAAATATGTAAGAAGTTAAAAGTTTGCATACCAAAGTATCTTTTAAGCCACAAAATTTAGAGAAGAACAGGGATTTTGAATTACTTCACTGATAATGAAAATACAGGAAAGTCTTTTTTCTTATCGAACTTTTAAAAGAAACAAAAATTGTTCATTACATCAATTTAAATTCAAACTTGCATTTTCTCTCTTTTATTGTGCCTTCAAAGTAAATGACAAAGCATCTTGAGCAAATGCAAGGTTTTTTATACAGATGTTGCAGAAGCGCAGTGGTCTGTAAGTTTGTTAACATAAGCCAGAGCCTTGGGCAGTCAACAGGACCAGAATCTGCTATATGTTACCCATGTCTTAACATCCCTGCGCCCTTTATTTCTACAGCAATATTAATGCACCTTTTTATCATGGCACTTCCAATGTCACATGAAACAAAAGGATTGCCTTCTGAAATTCAAATCAGTCAGTGATTATTTGCACTAATGTCTGTTACACCATAGCCAGATTCTGTGCATAACGATCCTAGCTTTCCAACCCTACACGCTGAGCTAGAATTTTATTTTCAAGGATAGAAGCTACCATTGTAGCACTAATTTGCACCATACTTTACACAAAAAAGAGGACTAATTATTATCACCATCCACTACTGTGATTACACAATCCCTTCCTCATTGCACAGTTAGTACTTGTGTAATACACAGCTAGCTGACATTTTACTTCTCACTGTTCAGTGTTACCACAGGATGTGGTAACACTGAACTTCAACTCCTGTTCTGAAGACAACAGTATTGGCATGCATGAGGCATTTACTGCAGTCCTGTCTCTGTGAGTACAAACTAACCTTCAGCACACTTTAGCAGATACAGTAACTAACCCGAGATGTCCAGGTCATACGTGAGGGTGACACATATGAAAAGAAAAGAGTAGGAAAGCAGTTCACCTGACAGGCCATGTCAGGTGTGCCACTGAGACACTGCTAGTCACTGATGAACTTCCGAGTTTCCCTGCCATTTCTACATGGAAGACAATACTGTGAGATCACTACACTAACTGCACAAACATCTTGGCTAAGTTTAACATACACACCTACGTACATAATCAAATGCATTTTCTTCTTATTACCTGGCATTGCCCACTTGTTCAGGTTTGCTTATATTGTAAACAAACACATTTCTCTAAATCCTGAAACCCCAAGGACATATTTATCACAAGGTAAGAAAAATAAAGTGTACCAGTGTTCAAGCTTTTCTATTGCCTCACTGACTACAGGTGACAGCAGATCTTTGCAGTGTCACGGCTGCTATAGAAACTACAGGACAACCAAGGATAACAACATCTGGCAATAGGGCAGTACTGAACATTGAGAGGGAAGAGGAATGGCTTGAGTTTGAGAGGGTCACCACAGCAGCTTATCTGATTGAATAATGCTTTATGGTGTGGTACCAATATTTAATTGGCATAATTTACCTGGATTTTTAAAAGATTTCTAAACAAGGTCCACTTACCAAAGGCTTTTAAAGAAACTGCTAAGATAGAAGAGCAGATGTTTCATGAGAGTATAAACTCATTAGATAAATGTTCGCTTTTCACAGCAGAAGACTGCGACAAATACGTGCTGTAGATATTTGTGCTGTGCCGTATGTTTTTCCAGATGATATAAAAGTATGTTGAGCACTGAAAAGGTGATACAAGTTCAGCTGCTAACATTAAGTTATTCGAAGTAATAAAGACGAGAGCTAACTATGAAGACCTGAAATGTCATATCCAGGGTCCCAATTTTACATATAACATGATCACCTCTAAATGTGTGATGACAGTAAACAAAAGACACTGAAGTTGTACAGAATCAGTACCCATCAGTAGTTTTTATAAGCAAGTAAAACTTCAGCACCGTGTTTCCTTACTTCTTAGTTCTGGCCCATTCTACTGAACATATCTTTAATAAATTTACAGAAGCTCACCTGAGTAGCTGCAGACTGACAGGAAGATGAGGAAGATGATGAGACAACAGGAATGTCAGACTGGACAGCCGCCACAGTGGTTGCAGGAGTAAAAATAAGACGTTAAGCAAGAAAAAAAAATCTTTTACAGACTAAAACTTTGAAAATACATTGAAAAAATGCAGTATTTTAAAAGAGCGATACAGAAGCTACATGTAGTGATGTACAGCTTTTTTTTTTACTTTCAGATGAACTTACTCAAAGAACAATTTGTCCTAATAGTTTAAGTAAATAAATTTAGAAGACAATAATGTAAAATAAATACAATAATGTAAAATATTTGTTCTACATATTCAGAAAAATCATATATACACACACATATCATCTTTCATACAAGCCTTTTAAAGAGGACTTTCCCTTCAGTATTAAAAACTTGTGAAACAAAGGCAAAAGAAGTCAAGAGAGCAGCCCAATATCTACAGTACTACAGAACAAGAACTTAAAAGATCTTCCAGTCTGTCAAAATGTTATGTAACCAGCAGAGTTGCTATATTAACTTTAACTATGCTAATTGTTTCATAGTGAGAACAGGTGTCACACAACCAACCTGAAATTACTAACTTCCAGCATACCTAACTGTCATTAATTTCTTTATAGGCAATACAGCAAAGACAAGCTTTACGGAAGGCTTTGAAGAGAGACCATTATTTAGCCTTCCATATTTTTAAAGATACCTCAACTGCAAGGAGCAGCTAAGAAGAAAACATGAAGGTATTTATCTGGAATTGAATCAAGCTGGTGATGAAGCTGTTATGAGCTAGCCAGAAGTAACAGTTGACCCTTTTACAGAAAATGAAAGGCCTGGTTATGAAGAAAAATACAAACACAGACAGGTATGACACCTTCAAACTGCTGAAGTTAGCAAAATGATCTTGCAATACCATTCTAAATGGAAACTAACAGGGTAAGTTTCTCTCTTGAAATGGGTGTAAAGCAGTTACTCATATAAGCATGGGATTTGACACTGAGAGCCTGGATGAAAAATTAGTGTAAATGAATAGGAAAACTGTATCAATAATCCATATCATTGACAAGAGATTGCTATTACAAAACCCAGCAACCTCATCCTCATACTGCTTCAGCTGCTATGTTGTTAACACATACTGAAAGGCACTGACACGAAATGAATTCGTAATCCCTGTTCTGTTAAATATTGCTAGGTGCATTCAGCATCCAGCTTTTCTTACAAACCAGAGACTCAAGAAATCCTCTCATCGCCAAATTGATAAACAGGTATTTGATCTTTAGATCCTTATCTTCAAGTTATACCACTTTTTTCAATAAACATATAAAATAAAAATAGCCAAAGAAAAAAAGCAACACAGCACAACAGCATTGCTATGCATGCCTAAGAAAAATCTCAGAAAAAGAACAAAGGATCACTTTTCCCAAACATACTTCACAGGTGCAATTCCTGCTAGAACTCATGACTGCATCTAATTTTATATACATTGCAGTCACGGACCTCTGGCTCTGAATCTCAGTGTAGCTTAACAGTGACTCTTCCTGTTCCATATAGTTGAACATAACACTCTAGAAAGCTCTGCCCATTAACTCACACAAGTCATAACAGTGTCTTTGGCCTTTACCAGGTACTGACTGGTACCTGAGCACTCATGCACAACTCCAGTAATTTCTATAAAATCCCACACAGACTGTAAGGTTCAATATATATGAAACTCACTAGAGAAAGTATTAAATTAAATAAAAAAATTTAAAAAAATAAACCACTAAACAGATTTTTTTAGAGTTGCACATGAGGAAATGGAAATGCCATATTGACAGGAAACTGCAAGAATCTAATGAGTTTCATATGAATCCAAAGAGAATGAAAGCCATATCTCTAACTCGAATTCTAGAGACAATTATGCAAAGAACAAGCTTAGTTAAATACAAGAAAATTTTAACAAAAAGTTGCAACTCTGAGTATTACCAGTGCACTGGAAGACAGTCTACCTTGAATATAGACAGACTCCAGCATGCCCTTCTACATAGCCAGAAGAGACAGGTGCTCTTTCTCTATCTTTTCCACGTTTGATCAATTTAATAATTGTAGTACGACCAGGCTAAAAACATTTGAGCAAGCTTCACCAGAGAACTAAGCTACAGCAATCCTTTTACTTCTGATGTCTACAGTGTTTCAGAAGATACACATGCACAAATTGGTGACTAAGTTCTCAATGCTATCTGAAAGTAAAGAAAAATACTTGTAAATAATTTATAGCAACAAAATCAAAACTGAAACAGTTCAGATTTGGGGAGGAAGCACAAAGGGGTAGGACACAACGGAAGGACCAAAACCAAGCTTAAGAACTGCAATCAAAACTTACCATTTGAGCTCGTAGATACATTTGAGCCTGGCTTGCACTCAGGGATGGTGAGGTGCTCCCCAGCAACATAGTCTGTTGGGTAATACTGCTGCTGGTGGTGTTGGAGGTCTGTGAACGGCTTATTATCTGTGCAGGTGTAGGAGAGGTGGAGAGGTTAATCTAAGGAAACAAAAATATTGCTTCTGTCATGGAAATTCATTCATCCTAGGGTCTAAAGCCAGAAAGCCTTTGACAAAAATGGCAAGGGCAGATGAAATCTCTGAACTGTAAAGATATCAAAAATACGTTGAGCCAATCATCACAAAACTGGATTCTGGCAAGATTGTATATTTTCATTCTTAAACTGCAAGCAATCATCTAGCAGTAAATACTGATAAGCAGCTACAAGCATAAACAACGATATTACGAAGTCTGAAGAATATACCTCAGAAATACACACTTACAGAACACATAGCATAAGCTTGAAATATTTTAAGAAAAATACCTGAGTTTTAATATTTAAGCATATATAAATGTTTGTATTATCTGACTGGACTGATACCTTCTGTTATGCTTGTTATGCAACCTGATCAGGACACTTCTTTGTGCTGCCATATACGGCCTTTGATTCCTCATTCTACATATGGACATTTAAATATGACCAGAGACAAAAACTTTCTACAATTTCATATTAAATCCTCCTCAACAATTGCTCTTTAGCATCTTCTCAAACAAAAGCTGTTGTGGTTTTGGTCTGGTTTTCTTTTTTTTTTCCCTAACCAGTCTAACAGAGTTAAGTGCCCAGCTCTTTCTCATCACTTACTCAAAAAATTTCCTTGAAAAATCCCAGCCCAATTATTCTGTTTAACGTCAGACATCTTTAAGGACTTCCCCTCCTAAATTTAATGAATGAATGATTTTACTTCTAACAACTGTAAGCCAAAGCAATGCTAAGAGAGCTTAAAAAATATAGTTAAATCACTGAAGCTATGCACTGAAGTCATGAACAGCTTGAGGGCATGATTAATAAGCAGGACGTCTGTAGGACTAACAAAGTCCTACTCAAGACAACTGTAGAGCTGTACATTAAAGACTGTGCAAATTACATATCTGAAGATGCCGCTTAAAGAAATACAGCATGAACCGAACACAGAGCTGCTAACAACTGAAACCTGAGCACATGCCTAGAATATGGATAAAGTAATTGAAAGTGCATAAAAGATGCATGATAAAAGATGATAATCAATAAATGAATGAATGCTATAAACACTTATTCAGTTTCATATATATATATGTGACCACTGACTTGGATTCTTTCGATTCGGTGCTCTTTAATCGCTGATACACAAGAGTTATGACTTTTACCTACAACAGTGCCCTGAATAAAGAAACGAATGTGAAAAATCCCATCAGAAATCATGTGAGAGATGAAAGCTCAGGGAGTGACTCCTGCAGCGGTCGGAGCAGTCACTAGCGCTTGTGGAGTGAGGAGCTGCCCCTCAGAGCACCAAGAGCGGGCTGGGACCAGGGAAGCCTCCAACGCTGGTCAGCAACACCAGCGGCTGGTAGCATGCACCAAGATCACTGACAGATGCTGGAAGCGCAGCCGACGCTTACTACAGAGTGGTCGTACTTTTATTTGCTGTTTCTGTAATACTAATTTTAACCACACAAATTTAAATACTAAAATCTTTTCTGTTTTTCCAAGTAGTTATATAATAACCAAGAGGGGTTGAGAATGGATGGAGGGCTTTGTTCAGTTACGTACCGAGGTCTGCGACATGCTTGACTGCTGAGTGACACTCCCAGTGGGGGAAGTACATTGCCTCCCACCTGACAGGCTTGCCTAAATAGCAAGAATACGTGTCAAATATTGAAATCAAAAAGGGTTTAAGTGATGTTCATATTATTGCATACACCATCAGAAATATCCCTCTCTACCATTACCTTTTCTCTGAGTTAACGGTAGAAATGCTTTATTCGGTGGAATTAGTTTTCAGCAAAGTGCACTCTGCACTACAGAATGCAATCCACAAGGTGCCAAATGCCTTGAGTTCCTACCCAATTTCAGGCACTCAGATTCCTGCGGATCAAGACTTGAACAAAAACTACTGGAGACAAAGTCTATCAAACTGTTAATGATGGAGCTAACTGATCAGCTCACTACCTATGGTGCTCAGAACTTAAAATGTGATATCATTAAAAACTGTCATTATTAAAACTCACATCCTAATTTTTATGATGATTAGAATGCTCCAAAACTAAAACAAACTTTATAAATGCTGTAAAGAACACCCTCACATTCTAGAACAATAATTTACGTATGCACATCTAGTGTCTGTAACAGTATGCTATTCCAGCCCTTCAGATGAACACAGCGATAGATTTCTGTACTAACAGACTCCATGCCAAAACTTCTTAGCCTTCCCCAATTTGACTTTCTTTGCTCTGTCTCGGTAACTATATGTACACACAAATCCGTCACAAGAAAATGACAAATCAATGTATTACCACGATCTAACGGAAAAGGTACAGAAAAAAAAGCCAGGAGCACAGAAGAGTCAGTCCCAGTTCTGACAACAAACAGCTATATCCCTGAAGTCTTTAACTCTGTTTTAGCATTTCCATACATAAAATCATTAACAACCACCTACTTCTGCAAAACAGTGTTCTCAATCCAAGGTCAACTGAGGTCAAAGGAAATCTTTCCACTGCTTGAGTTTTCAAAACTGGTCACCTCCACTGTTCATTAATGTTAAAAGCTGTGCTTCAAAAATGAAACGTCATTTACTTCCTACATTTCCACACTCAGAGTTAAAATTGAATTTTGCCAATATTTCTAATGCAGCCAGAGGTGTGGCAAAACACACTAAGATACCAGATGTTCATCAGTTTTATTTGATTTCACTAAGATACATTGCTATTCATTGCTTTCCCCATCAACTTTTAGATAAAATCATGGGATGAAGATTGAAGGAGTCTATTTTTAACATTTATTTTATTACTGTTTAATGATTTACATGATGCATTATAATGTATGCAATAAAGCATGGAATGGTTGCCTACTGGAGCACCTATAACACTGGACAAAATCCTCCAAATACTTTGGAGGAAGATACAATTCAAAATAACAAAGTCATTAAAATATAACAGTGAAATATTTGGAGGCATTAAGCTCAGGCACTTAAGCTGTTATTATGTTTGACAATGCTCTAGAATTGTAGTCCTACCCTAGAAAGTAGTACACCATTCTTTGTCAGCAATCTTCGCTCTCACCTGTGGTACAGTTGCCAGACTCTGAAACTGGGTACTGCTTAAGTGCTGCTGCTGCAAAGCAGCAGTCTGCAGCATTAGATGCTGCTGTTGGGCTGCATACATCTGCTGGAGGTACTGAGCAGCTGAGCTAGGAGGACGATGCAAGGCCTGCTGAATAACCTGTGGTGAATCAGTAGGTAAATAATTACAATTACAAAGTACACGCCATGCTGACATGATGCTGAAGTTTACCTTTACAAGGAAATAAAACCAAATAAATTCCTTTCACACCAATTATGTAATACCGAACTTGCTCCATCACTGCTCCAAACCAAGTCACAGAATACAGTCAACATAAATACATCCACGTTTTCAAGGAAAGCCTGACAGTCGGCTGACAATACAGCATAATTCATAACACAACATCCAAGCCTCTTATGTTCTTGTCAACAAGTCCTACTTAACGTTCCGCTTTTTGAAAGATCAGCATAGCCATGTGAGAGACTCAGTTACCAAACCCAACAGAATGGACCATAAAGGGTTCAAGGAGATCTAATTTAAAGAACAGCAAGAGGGGGCTGGATCCAAAGCAGCAGTTACACACACAGATACCTCTGGATCCCTGAAGTCAATGTTGGTTAAATAAACAGCTTTATTTTGCATTATTTGTAAAGTCATGTGTTAATAATCCATATCACTAGGGAATGGCCCAAACCCAAACTTTCTAGAACAGCGTTTCCCCCTGTGTTATCCGGGACACAAGCCTGTACCCTGCGCTGTTCTTAAATGGTCTAATATCCTTTCATAAACAGTATCTTCTGAAAACCAGTAAGTCAGATATTGACAAAGATGACAGCTATTAGGAACGGCAAGTTAATCCTGTGTAAAGTACCGCACAATGCCTACATTTGAGAGCAGTGGTGTACAGGACAGGAAAGAATACCTCACAGCCCCATACCTGGACGGCATGCCTGTCAGAGCCGCTGTAGACAGATATCTGCGGCAGCTGTGTCCGGGAAGTGGAGGTGGTAGTGATAGTAGTTGTGGATGCAGAACATGTTGTTGTGTTTGGTTCATTCTCCATAGCTGTGCAGTGTTTGTCCAGCCTGGCAGAATTGAAATAAAAGTGGTTCACAAACAGAAGGCCAGTACACACTAATTTTAAAGGCAAAAAACTCTAAGCTTCACTGAGAGAGAATAACAGACAATTTTCAAATGGATAAATTGGCAGGATTTGCTATTACTTGGTGGGATTTGTTGAGAGATGTGGTTATAATCTTCTAACGTCTACCAAGAGTAGCAATAGGTGACCAGTTTCGGAACACATGCAAGACTTCCAGCAAGCTACACAGGAGTACCCCCACACGCCTCTTCCCCACAGCATAGCACTGAAACTGCTGGCTGACCATTCTGTACATTCAGCAAAGCACATTCTTGACAAAAATCACCGGTGGCGTGCTCTATTTGGAAAATGATGGAAAGGATGTAGACAAAAATGCTTTTACTTTTTACAGCAATACCTCCCAAAATACAGCAACAGTCAATGAAGAAACTACCTATTAAGCATCCCTGATGATTCCTCCTGAGGCTTTTGAGACTTCCCTCTGTTGCAGAGTACAATCTCTCTCCCAAAATATAATCTTTAAAATTGAAATGAAGCACGTATCTCAATATGTGAGGGGTGTTTGCTTTAGTTCCTTTTTCAATATTAGTATTACGATTAACAGGAAATGGCATAGTTGCTGTTTATTACTTTTAAAAGGTTGTTTAAAAAAAACAGGTGGGGAGAAGATGTGTTTCCTTCTTACAATAAGGCAGGGTCAGAAGAAGAGAGAGCTGCGATGTACTAGAAAAAAAACAAAACAGCATTGCCAAGTGCTTAACAAGCCACGCACTGGATGCCGCATCAAACAGGAACATAATTAGGAGTTTCAACTCACACAGCTGAAAGCAGAATGCAGTGCTGCCAGGCTGCTGCCGTCACCTCCCAAAACACAGCTACTTCGCGAGTAGAGGACTGCACGTGATGCCGTGGCTCCCGTGTACATAGAATAGCTAAACTCTTAATAGATCCCTCTCACCTAAGGACCTCAGGCCTATCATTGTATTGTGTACCTGCGTATGTTTTGCCATCAAAGGAAATCCACGGCAATAAAGCACGCTTTAAAAGCGGAGATCCCCACTATTAGAAATGAAGAAAAAAATATGGCTTTGTTGCTAAAAATTCGGATCTGTTGTGCATTATTGATGCCATTTGTATACCTATATTAGAGTACAAGTTAATATACATGGTTAACCGCTTCAAGCGCAGTAAAACCAGCATCACTCCTAAAACCACTTTACGTTAATTTCACATAATGCTAATGAAAAGTACCTTGAAAAGAAGTCCTGTCTCCTCCAGAGGACATTAAAAGCACATCAAAATATTTACACCTACAACCTGTCTAGCTGGTTTTAGCAAAGAGGTATGCAACCAGTTATATTAGCCTAAGAAAACAACACTGGATTTTTTATTTCCTTCATTCTCAGCCACGTTTTAGATGTATTATCAGCAAGATGTGCAACGCATCCCACTCTACTAGCTGTTCCATCAGAAATTCACCCCATGAGAGCTGTCAATCCTTTAGCTGAAAGTGTCTCATTTTCAAAAACAATTTTGCCATTGCTGAGCCATTCCCACAATGGATGTAAAATAAAACTGGGAAAGAGCTCCTAAACTTTCCTGATGCCGAGGAGCATCTCCAGCCCTCCTCTAACACCTCGCTTCGAGCAGGTAGGAGATGCTTCCCTGTTGCCCCTCAGACCTAGCGGCACACACCCACCGTGCAGCACAGCACCCATGCGCAGACACTGCGTGCCCGCCTTCGGCTGAAGGAACAGCAAAGTGTTTTAGCAGTTGACGCTTCTTAGAAACCTCTCCTCTCTTTAAGCAAAAAGTGGAATGTTTAAGGGAGAAGAGGAAATATGTGAAAAGTGGTTGTTTTCAGCAAGGAAACCAAGAATCCACTACAATTCAGCAGATGGATATTTTACGACAGAAAGCATAAAAACCATTACAGGCTTAAAACCAGGCTGCCTTTACAGTGTTGCTTTCATTTACTTTACAGTGCTGTATATGCAGAGAGCATTTCTAGTTATAAAAAAAAAAATCTAAGGTACAATTGAAAATAATCTGAAATTCCTCACTGAGTACTCAACAATATCAAAAAGGCAAAACTCCTAACTTTTATTAGTAAGATTATTTTTGTTAAATGTATGACAAAGACCTTAAAATGAAGTTGCCTCTGAGCAACTTTAACTCAAACAAACCTCTGGAAGACGAAGTAAGTTTTAGGAAATGCACTGAACGCTGACTTTAAACAACCACTACGTGTTTAAGTAACCCCAAAATACAAAGCACAACAGAAAACTACATTGAAACCAGTATTTATTCGAATAGTAACAGCATTAGACATCACATAATTTCAAATTACACTGTGCACACGGTAATAGAAGTTTTGTTCTCTTTATAATAATTGGTCAAAGCAAGTATTTAAAGAAAAGTAAAAAAAATACCTGCTACTCCATGCCACTAATGTTAAACTACCTTCAAAGGGCACATGCACATCGGTGCTGATGTTTTCGAAAGTCTGACTTTTGGTAAACATCGCGGTAATAGCAAACACTGTTGACGGTCTACAACTGTAACTGGTATTTGAAAACAGGTGGGGTTTTTTTTTAACATAAAGGGTTTACTCTTAGTCCTTCCATTCATGACCTCCCTTTACAATTCCAAGGGTACAAATCGCAGAAAACAAATGAAAATTCCCTCCAAGTCTAATCCCGACTGGCATTTTTGACTGAGGGCTCTGAAATAAACCCTCCCTCTAGCTACAGCTCTCTACAACCCCTCTTTGCTCTAGCTACAGCACAGGCCAACCTTGCCCAAACCTTGGGGTTTTACGTTTTTGTAAGAAAAAATAAATAAATAAAATAAATTTAAAATTATGCTCTGTGGAGATACAGCCCCCGCCGCGCGGTGCAACC